TGTCGTTGTCGTCGTCGTCGCTGTTGTTGTCGTCGTTGTTGTAGTCGTCGTAGTTGTAGTTGTCGTGGTAGTGGTTGTCGTAGTTGTTGTCGTAGTTGTTGTCGTAGTTGTTGTCGTAGTTGTTGTCGTAGTTGTTGTCGTAGTTGTCGTCGTGGTTGTTGTCGTCGTGGTTGTAGTTGTAGTTGTGGTTGTCGTAGTTGTGGTTGTCGTAGTTGTCGTCGTGGTTGTTGTCGTCGTGGTTGTTGTCGTGGTGGTAGCTGTCGTGGTGGTTGTCGTGGTAGTTGTCGTCGTGGTTGTTGTCGTAGTTGTCGTGGTTGTAGTTGTCGTCGTTGTCGTGGTTGTTGTCGTCGTGGTGGTTGTGGTTGTCGTGGTTGTTGTCGTCGTAGTTGTTGTCGTCGTTGTTGTCGTCGTTGTTGTCGTCGTTGTAGTTGTTGTCGTGGTGGTGGTTGTCGTGGTTGTTGTTGTTGTTGTTGTTGTGGTTGTTGTCGTGGTGGTTGTGGTTGTTGTCGTCGTCGTCGTAGTTGCTGTCGTAGTTGTTGTCGTAGTTGTTGTCGTAGTTGTTGTCGTAGTTGTGGTGGTTGTCGTGGTGGTAGTTGTCGTGGTGGTTGTCGTGGTCGTAGTTGTTGTCGTAGTTGTGGTGGTTGTCGTCGTCGTAGTTGTAGTTGTGGTTGTCGTAGTTGTCGTCGTGGTTGTTGTCGTGGTTGTTGTCGTGGTTGTCGTGGTTGTAGTTGTCGTCGTTGTCGTGGTTGTTGTCGTCGTGGTGGTTGTGGTTGTCGTGGTTGTTGTCGTCGTAGTTGTTGTCGTCGTTGTTGTCGTCGTTGTAGTTGTTGTCGTGGTGGTTGTGGTTGTTGTCGTAGTTGTTGTCGTAGTTGTTGTCGTAGTTGTTGTCGTAGTTGTGGTGGTTGTCGTCGTCGTAGTTGTGGTTGTCGTGGTTGTAGTTGTGGTTGTAGTTGTGGTTGTAGTTGTCGTCGTTGTTGTAGTTGTGGTTGTTGTCGTCGTGGTTGTTGTCGTGGTTGTGGTGGTTGTCGTCGTCGTAGTTGTGGTTGTCGTGGTTGTAGTTGTGGTTGTCGTGGTTGTAGTTACCGTCGTTGTTGTAGTTGTGGTTGTTGTTGTCGTGGTTGTCGTCGTTGTAGTTGTTGTCGTGGTGGTGGTTGTCGTGGTGGTGGTTGTCGTGGTTGTTGTTGTTGTGGTTGTTGTCGTGGTGGTTGTGGTTGTTGTCGTCGTCGTGGTTGTTGTCGTCGTAGTTGTTGTCGTCGTGGTTGTTGTCGTTGTTGTTGTTGTCGAGGTAGTTGTAGTTGTCGTAGTTGTTGGCGGTGCTGTTGTTTTTGTTTTCTTCGCCTGAGCCCGAGAAAAAGTATCACCACCCACCATTTTTGCAATTTCTTACAATAATTTTAGAAAGCATTGCCAATTTTTTCTGCAAAAGACTAACAACCAATCCAACGCCTTCAAACGATTTTTTTGTCTCTTCTCCGTTGCCTATTTCTAAGCCTATGTTTGAAACAACAGGCTCTGCATTGATACTGCATGACGACAACAGAAGAAACAAAGATAAAACACTGAGAATATAAGCTGCTCTCATGATGGAAGCTTTTCTATTGATCCACTCGAAAGACTTTCAGGTATTTGGGGGGGATGCAGTCTTTGTAGTATGTTCAGTACCGAGACGACAAGGAGATGCTTTCATAAAAGGTTCACTATTTGCCGTTCACTGCACTGAAATCAAAACCATTGGGCAAACCCTGCTCTCTTTGCAACCTTTACTTTCACACATCAGAATTTGCAACTTTTACGTGCACCTGTAGTGAACAAAACACGATGGTCACTTTACAACGATCTTCAAATTCTCTGAGAAAGTTTTATGCTGAGCGTCAACCCGCTAGTAACTGTTTAGGTTTTCCATCTCGGAAAAATAGCTCATTTGTCATTTGCAAGAGCTCGAGACTCAAAGAAAATACAAACAGAAGAAAGCAGGGGCAAATCAGCTAAAGGTTAATCTGAAAATCAAAAACCGTCGGTGGTCTACAATTCAAAAGGGTGTGTTCTTATCTACTCACACTGCGTGGGGGAATCGGTGGTTCATGCGGAGCGGATGTTTAGGGGTGTTACTTTCTTGGCTTTGAGTTGTCTTTCCCTAAGTGCTTGCTCTCTCTCTAGTTCTTCCAGCCGTCGAATTAAAGTCGTCGTTGTTGTTGAAGTCGTGGTTGTTGTTGTTGTTGTCGTCGTGGTTGTTGTTGTCGTCGTGGTTGTAGTGGTGGTGGTCGTCGTTGTCGTCGTCGTCGCTGTTGTTGTCGTCGTTGTTGTAGTCGTCGTAGTTGTAGTTGTCGTGGTAGTGGTTGTCGTAGTTGTTGTCGTAGTTGTTGTCGTAGTTGTCGTCGTGGTTGTTGTCGTCGTGGTTGTAGTTGTAGTTGTGGTTGTCGTAGTTGTGGTTGTCGTAGTTGTCGTCGTGGTTGTTGTCGTCGTGGTTGTTGTCGTGGTGGTAGTTGTCGTGGTGGTTGTCGTGGTAGTTGTCGTCGTAGTTGTTGTCGTAGTTGTGGTGGTTGTCGTCGTCGTAGTTGTGGTTGTCGTAGTTGTGGTTGTCGTAGTTGTCGTCGTGGTTGTTGTCGTCGTAGTTGTTGTCGTAGTTGTGGTGGTTGTCGTCGTCGTAGTTGTGGTTGTCGTAGTTGTCGTCGTGGTTGTTGTCGTGGTTGTTGTCGTGGTTGTTGTCGTGGTTGTTGTCGTGGTTGTTGTCGTGGTTGTTGTCGTGGTTGTCGTGGTTGTAGTTGTCGTCGTTGTCGTGGTTGTTGTCGTCGTGGTGGTTGTGGTTGTCGTGGTTGTTGTCGTCGTAGTTGTTGTCGTCGTTGTTGTCGTCGTTGTAGTTGTTGTCGTGGTGGTTGTGGTTGTTGTCGTCGTCGTCGTAGTTGTTGTCGTAGTTGTTGTCGTAGTTGTTGTCGTAGTTGTTGTCGTAGTTGTGGTGGTTGTCGTGGTGGTAGTTGTCGTGGTGGTTGTCGTGGTCGTAGTTGTTGTCGTAGTTGTGGTGGTTGTCGTCGTCGTAGTTGTAGTTGTGGTTGTCGTAGTTGTCGTCGTGGTTGTTGTCGTGGTTGTTGTCGTGGTTGTCGTGGTTGTAGTTGTCGTCGTTGTCGTGGTTGTTGTCGTCGTGGTGGTTGTGGTTGTCGTGGTTGTTGTCGTCGTAGTTGTTGTCGTCGTTGTTGTCGTCGTTGTTGTCGTCGTTGTTGTCGTCGTTGTAGTTGTTGTCGTGGTGGTTGTGGTTGTTGTCGTAGTTGTTGTCGTAGTTGTTGTCGTAGTTGTGGTGGTTGTCGTCGTCGTAGTTGTTGTCGTGGTGGTGGTTGTCGTGGTTGTTGTTGTTGTGGTTGTTGTCGTGGTGGTTGTGGTTGTTGTCGTCGTCGTGGTTGTTGTCGTCGTAGTTGTTGTCGTCGTGGTTGTTGTCGTTGTTGTTGTTGTCGAGGTAGTTGTTGTAGTTGTCGTAGTTGTTGGCGGTGCTGTTGTTTTTGTTTTCTTCGCCTGAGTCAGAGAAAAAGTATCACCACCCACCATTTTTGCAATTTCTTACAATAATTTTAGAAAGCATTGCCAATTTTTTCTGCAAAAGACTAACAACCAATCCAACGCCTTCAAACGATTTTTTTGTCTCTTCTCCGTTGCCTATTTCTAAGCCTATGTTTGAATCAACAGGCTCTGCATTGATACTGCATGACGACAACAGAAGAAACAAAGATAAAACACTGAGAATATACGCTGCTCTCATGATGGAAGCTTTTCTATTGATCCACTCGAAAGACTTTCAGGTATTTGGGGGGGATGCAGTCTTTGTAGTATGTTCAGTACCGAGACGACAAGGAGATGCTTTCATAAAAGGTTCACTATTTGCCGTTCACTGCACTGAAATCAAAACCATTGGGCAAACCCTGCTCTCTTTGCAACCTTTACTTTCACACATCAGAATTTGCAACTTTTACGTGCACCTGTAGTGAACAAAACACGATGGTCACTTTACAACGATCTTCAAATTCTCTGAGAAAGTTTTATGCTGAGCGTCAACCCGCTAGTAACTGTTTAGGTTTTCCATCTCGGAAAAATAGCTCATTTGTCATTTGCAAGAGCTCGAGACTCAAAGAAAATACAAACAGAAGAAAGCAGGGGCAAATCAGCTAAAGGTTAATCTGAAAATCAAAAACCGTCGGTGGTCTACAATTCAAAAGGGTGTGTTCTTATCTACTCACACTGCGTGGGGGAATCGGTGGTTCATGCGGAGCGGATGTTTAGGGGTGTTACTTTCTTGGCTTTGAGTTGTCTTTCCCTAAGTGCTTGCTCTCTCTCTAATTCTTCCAGCCGTCGAATTAAAGTCGTCGTTGTTGTTGAAGTCGTGGTTGTTGTTGTTGTTGTCGTCGTGGTTGTTGTTGTCGTCGTGGTTGTAGTGGTGGTGGTCGTCGTTGTCGTCGTCGTCGCTGTTGTTGTCGTCGTTGTTGTAGTCGTCGTAGTTGTAGTTGTCGTGGTAGTGGTTGTCGTAGTTGTTGTCGTAGTTGTTGTCGTAGTTGTCGTCGTGGTTGTTGTCGTCGTGGTTGTAGTTGTAGTTGTGGTTGTCGTAGTTGTGGTTGTCGTAGTTGTGGTTGTCGTAGTTGTCGTCGTGGTTGTTGTCGTCGTGGTTGTTGTCGTGGTGGTAGTTGTCGTGGTGGTTGTCGTGGTAGTTGTCGTCGTAGTTGTTGTCGTAGTTGTGGTGGTTGTCGTCGTCGTAGTTGTGGTTGTCGTGGTTGTAGTTGTGGTTGTCGTAGTTGTCGTCGTGGTTGTTGTCGTGGTTGTTGTCGTGGTTGTTGTCGTGGTTGTCGTGGTTGTAGTTGTCGTCGTTGTCGTGGTTGTTGTCGTCGTGGTGGTTGTGGTTGTCGTGGTTGTTGTCGTCGTAGTTGTTGTCGTAGTTGTTGTCGTCGTTGTTGTCGTCGTTGTAGTTGTTGTCGTGGTGGTGGTTGTCGTGGTTGTTGTTGTTGTTGTTGTTGTTGTTGTTGTGGTTGTTGTCGTGGTGGTTGTGGTTGTTGTCGCCGTCGTCGTAGTTGTTGTCGTAGTTGTTGTCGTAGTTGTTGTCGTAGTTGTGGTGGTTGTCGTGGTGGTAGTTGTCGTGGTGGTTGTCGTGGTCGTAGTTGTTGTCGTAGTTGTGGTGGTTGTCGTCGTCGTAGTTGTAGTTGTGGTTGTCGTAGTTGTCGTCGTGGTTGTTGTCGTGGTTGTTGTCGTGGTTGTCGTGGTTGTAGTTGTCGTCGTTGTCGTGGTTGTTGTCGTCGTAGTTGTTGTCGTCGTTGTTGTCGTCGTTGTTGTCGTCGTTGTTGTCGTCGTTGTTGTCGTCGTTGTTGTCGTCGTTGTAGTTGTTGTCGTGGTGGTTGTGGTTGTTGTCGTGGTGGTTGTGGTTGTCGTGGTTGTTGTTGTTGTGGTTGTTGTCGTGGTGGTTGTGGTTGTTGTCGTCGTCGTGGTTGTTGTCGTCGTAGTTGTTGTCGTCGTGGTTGTTGTCGTTGTTGTTGTTGTCGAGGTAGTTGTTGTAGTTGTCGTAGTTGTTGGCGGTGCTGTTGTTTTTGTTTTCTTCGCCTGAGTCAGAGAAAAAGTATCACCACCCACCATTTTTGCAATTTCTTACAATAATTTTAGAAAGCATTGCCAATTTTTTCTGCAAAAGACTAACAACCAATCCAACGCCTTCAAACGATTTTTTTGTCTCTTCTCCGTTGCCTATTTCTAAGCCTATGTTTGAATCAACAGGCTCTGCATTGATACTGCATGACGACAACAGAAGAAACAAAGATAAAACACTGAGAATATAAGCTGCTCTCATGATGGAAGCTTTTCTATTGATCCACTCGAAAGACTTTCAGGTATTTGGGGGGGATGCAGTCTTTGTAGTATGTTCAGTACCGAGACGACAAGGAGATGCTTTCATAAAAGGTTCACTATTTGCCGTTCACTGCACTGAAATCAAAACCATTGGGCAAACCCTGCTCTCTTTGCAACCTTTACTTTCACACATCAGAATTTGCAACTTTTACGTGCACCTGTAGTGAACAAAACACGATGGTCACTTTACAACGATCTTCAAATTCTCTGAGAAAGTTTATGCTGAGCGTCAACCCGCTAGTAACTGTTTAGGTTTTCCATCTCGGAAAAATAGCTCATTTGTCATTTGCAAGAGCTCGAAACTCAAATAAAATACAAACAGAAGAAAGCAGGGGCAAATCAGCTAAAGGTTAATCTGAAAATCAAAAACCGTCGGTGGTCTACAATTCAAAAGGGTGTGTTCTTATCTACTCACACTGCGTGGGGGAATCGGTGGTTCATGCGGAGCGGATGTTTAGGGGTGTTACTTTCTTGGCTTTGAGTTCCCGTTGTGCTGGGCGTGGCCCGGCTTTCTGTCTTTCTCTAAGTGCTTGCTCTCTTTCCAGTTCTTCCAGCCGTCGGATTAAAGTCGTCGTTGTTGTGGAAGTCGTAGTTGTAGTTGTCGTTGTTGTAGTTGTTGTAGTAGTTGTTGTGGTTGTAGTTGTTGTCGTTGTAGTCGTAGTTGTGGTTGTAGTTGTAGTTGTTGTAGTAGTCGTAGTTGTTGTCGTAGTGGTTGTCGTCGTAGTTGTGGTAGTTGTTGTCGTTGTAGTCGTAGTTGTGGTAGTTGTTGTCGTTGTAGTCGTAGTTGTGGTGGTTGTTGTCGTAGTTGTTGTTGTTGTTGTCGTAGTTGTTGTCGTAGTTGTTGTCGTTGTTGTCGTAGTTGTTGTTGTTGTTGTTGTCGTAGTTGTTGTTGTTGTTGTCGTAGTTGTTGTCGTAGTTGTTGTGGTGGTTGTAGTGGTTGTCGTGGTAGTTGTAGTGGTTGTCGTGGTAGTTGTAGTTGTTGTTGTCGTAGTTGTTGTTGTCGTAGTTGTAGTTGTCGTTGTAGTTGTTGTTGTTGTCGTAGTTGTAGTTGTCGTTGTAGTTGTTGTAGTTGTCGTAGTTGTTGTCGTAGTTGTTGTCGTAGTTGTAGTTGTCGTTGTAGTTGTTGTCGTCGTCGTAGTTGTGGTGGTTGTTGTCGTTGTTGTGGTGGTTGTCGTGGTTGTTGTCGTTGTTGTGGTGGTTGTCGTGGTAGTTGTCGTTGTTGTAGTAGTCGTAGTTGTTGTTGTCGTAGTTGTAGTTGTTGTCGTTGTAGTTGTTGTAGTAGTCGTAGTTGTTGTTGTCGTAGTTGTAGTTGTCGTAGTTGTTGTCGTAGTTGTTGTCGTTGTTGTAGTGGTTGTCGTCGTAGTTGTGGTGGTTGTTGTCGTTGTTGTGGTGGTTGTCGTGGTTGTTGTCGTTGTTGTGGTGGTTGTCGTGGTAGTTGTCGTTGTTGTTGTCGTTGTTGTCGTTGTTGTAGTGGTTGTCGTCGTAGTTGTGGTGGTTGTTGTCGTTGTTGTGGTGGTTGTTGTTGTGGTTGTCGTGGTAGTTGTCGTTGTGGTGGTTGTGGTGGTAGTTGTCGTTGTTGTTGTGGTGGTTGTTGTCGTTGTTGTGGTGGTTGTCGTGGTTGTTGTCGTTGTTGTGGTGGTTGTCGTCGTAGTTGTGGTGGTTGTTGTCGTTGTTGTCGTTGTTGTCGTCGTAGTTGTGGTGGTTGTTGTCGTTGTTGTGGTGGTTGTTGTTGTGGTTGTCGTGGTAGTTGTCGTTGTGGTGGTTGTGGTGGTTGTTGTCGTTGTTGTGGTGGTTGTCGTGGTTGTTGTCGTTGTTGTGGTGGTTGTCGTGGTAGTTGTCGTTGTTGTTGTCGTTGTTGTCGTTGTTGTAGTGGTTGTCGTCGTAGTTGTGGTGGTTGTTGTCGTTGTTGTGGTGGTTGTTGTTGTGGTTGTCGTGGTAGTTGTCGTTGTGGTGGTTGTGGTGGTAGTTGTCGTTGTTGTTGTCGTTGTTGTTGTCGTTGTTGTTGTCGTTGTTGTGGTTGTCGTGGTAGTTGTAGTTGTTGTCGTAGTTGTTGTTGTCGTAGTTGTAGTTGTCGTAGTTGTAGTTGTGGTTGTCGTTGTAGTTGTTGTAGTTGTTGTTGTTGTTGTCGTAGTTGTTGTCGTAGTTGTTGTCGTTGTTGTAGTGGTTGTCGTCGTCGTAGTTGTGGTGGTTGTTGTCGTTGTTGTGGTGGTTGTCGTGGTTGTTGTCGTTGTTGTGGTGGTTGTCGTGGTAGTTGTCGTTGTTGTAGTAGTCGTAGTTGTTGTTGTTGTTGTCGTAGTTGTGGTGGTTGTTGTCGTAGTTGTAGTTGTTGTCGTTGTAGTTGTTGTAGTAGTCGTAGTTGTTGTTGTCGTAGTTGTTGTTGTTGTTGTTGTTGTTGTCGTAGTTGTTGTCGTTGTTGTAGTGGTTGTCGTCGTAGTTGTGGTGGTTGTTGTCGTTGTTGTGGTGGTTGTCGTGGTTGTTGTCGTTGTTGTGGTGGTTGTCGTGGTTGTTGTCGTTGTTGTGGTGGTTGTCGTGGTAGTTGTCGTTGTTGTTGTCGTTGTTGTCGTTGTTGTAGTGGTTGTCGTCGTAGTTGTCGTTGTGGTGGTTGTGGTGGTAGTTGTCGTTGTTGTTGTGGTGGTTGTTGTCGTTGTTGTGGTGGTTGTCGTGGTTGTTGTCGTTGTTGTGGTGGTTGTCGTGGTAGTTGTCGTTGTTGTTGTCGTTGTTGTCGTTGTTGTAGTGGTTGTCGTCGTAGTTGTGGTGGTTGTTGTCGTTGTTGTGGTGGTTGTTGTTGTGGTTGTCGTGGTAGTTGTCGTTGTGGTGGTTGTTGTCGTAGTTGTTGTTGTTGTTGTCGTAGTTGTTGTCGTAGTTGTTGTTGTCGTAGTTGTAGTTGTCGTTGTAGTTGTTGTTGTTGTCGTAGTTGTAGTTGTCGTTGTAGTTGTTGTAGTTGTCGTAGTTGTTGTTGTCGTAGTTGTTGTCGTAGTTGTAGTTGTCGTTGTAGTTGTTGTCGTCGTCGTAGTTGTGGTGGTTGTTGTCGTTGTTGTGGTGGTTGTCGTGGTTGTTGTCGTTGTTGTGGTGGTTGTCGTGGTAGTTGTCGTTGTTGTAGTAGTCGTAGTTGTTGTTGTCGTAGTTGTAGTTGTTGTCGTTGTAGTTGTTGTAGTAGTCGTAGTTGTTGTTGTCGTAGTTGTAGTTGTCGTAGTTGTTGTCGTAGTTGTTGTCGTTGTTGTAGTGGTTGTCGTCGTAGTTGTGGTGGTTGTTGTCGTTGTTGTGGTGGTTGTCGTGGTTGTTGTCGTTGTTGTGGTGGTTGTCGTGGTAGTTGTCGTTGTTGTTGTCGTTGTTGTCGTTGTTGTAGTGGTTGTCGTCGTAGTTGTGGTGGTTGTTGTCGTTGTTGTGGTTGTTGTCGTTGTTGTTGTCGTTGTTGTAGTGGTTGTCGTCGTAGTTGTGGTGGTTGTTGTTGTTGTTGTTGTCGTAGTTGTTGTTGTTGTTGTCGTGGTTGTTGTCGTCGTTGTTGTAGTGGTTGTTGTCGTTGTTGTTGTCGTTGTTGTTGTCGTTGTTGTGGTTGTCGTGGTAGTTGTAGTTGTTGTTGTCGTAGTTGTTGTTGTCGTTGTAGTTGTTGTAGTAGTCGTAGTTGTTGTTGTAGTAGTGGTGGTTGTTGTAGTAGTGGTGGTTGTCGTTGTAGTTGTTGTCGTTGTTGTTGTCGTTGTTGTTGTCGTTGTTGTGGTGGTTGTCGTGGTAGTTGTCGTTGTTGTAGTAGTCGTAGTTGTTGTTGTTGTTGTTGTTGTTGTTGTTGTGGTTGTCGTCGTAGTTGTGGTGGTTGTTGTCGTTGTTGTGGTGGTTGTCGTTGTTGTTGTCGTTGTTGTAGTGGTTGTCGTCGTAGTTGTGGTGGTTGTTGTTGTTGTTGTTGTTGTCGTAGTTGTTGTTGTTGTTGTCGTGGTTGTTGTCGTCGTTGTTGTAGTGGTTGTCGTCGTTGTTGTAGTGGTTGTCGTCGTGGTTGTCGTGGTTGTTGTCGTTGTTGTGGTGGTTGTCGTGGTTGTTGTCGTTGTTGTGGTGGTTGTGGTAGTCGTAGTTGTTGTTGTCGTTGTTGTCGTTGTGGTGGTTGTTGTAGTAGTGGTGGTTGTTGTAGTAGTTGTGGTTGTCGTGGTAGTTGTCGTTGTTGTGGTGGTTGTAGTTGTCGTTGTCGTGGTGGTTGTCGTTGTTGTTGTCGTTGTTGTCGTTGTTGTAGTGGTTGTCGTCGTAGTTGTGGTGGTTGTTGTCGTTGTTGTGGTGGTTGTCGTGGTAGTTGTCGTTGTTGTTGTCGTTGTTGTAGTAGTCGTAGTTGTTGTTGTTGTTGTGGTGGTTGTGGTTGTTGTCGTTGTTGTTGTAGTGGTTGTCGTCGTAGTTGTTGTAGTAGTAGTCGTTGTTGTAGTTGTTGTTGTAGTAGTCGTAGTTGTTGTTGTGGTTGTCGTAGTTGTTGTCGTTGTTGTAGTGGTTGTCGTTGTAGTTGTCGTAGTTGTTGTTGTCGTTGTTGTCGTTGTGGTTGTTGTGGTTGTTGTTGTGGTGGTTGTTGTAGTTGTGGTGGTTGTAGTTGTTGTTGTAGTAGTAGTCGTAGTTGTGGTGGTTGTCGTAGTAGTGGTGGTTGTAGTTGTAGTTGTTGTCGTTGTTGTTGTCGTTGTTGTTGTTGTTGTCGTAGTTGTTGTTGTTGTTGTCGTAGTTGTTGTTGTCGTAGTTGTGGTGGTTGTAGTTGTCGTGGTGGTGGTTGTAGTTGTTGTGGTTGTTGTTGTCGTAGTTGTTGTCGTGGTTGTTGTTGTTGTCGTGGTTGTTGTTGTCGTGGTTGTTGTTGTCGTGGTTGTTGTTGTGGTGGTTGGGGGTGGTGTTGTCCTTTTGGCCTGGGAGAGAGCAAAGGTATTACTATCAACAACTTTTGAAATTTCTTACAATTATTTTAGAAATCAGTTTC